GGAGGCTATCGAATAAAGCAAAATAATCGGAGAAGTGGGATGATACAGAAAAATTCATTACTGAATATAATAAAGAGATAAGCAGAGCAAAAAGTGAGTATTTCATGAGGTTTTGCCAGAATATTTCTAGTGGTAGCACTAGAATCCACAAGATTCTTTCCAATGATTCGGCGCAGGGAAAAGGTTTACTTAAAAGAACTGATGAACCTTTGTCGAATCTAAAAAGGAAACGCTAGAGCTTTTATTGCAAAACCACTTCTCAGGTTCAACAATTATTAATGAGCAGACTCAGGCTGAAAACCTAGAACGACCTAAACGTCCTAGAAATGAAGACTGAAAATTCTCTGCAATAAACGTCAAACCGGAGAATGTGAAGTGGGCCATAAACCGCCTTGCTTTATCCAAATCTCCAGGGAAGGATGGAATATTTCCTGTCCTACTACAAAAAGGATTGGTCTTATTGCCCATCCTAACAACTATCTTTAGGGCTAGCGTAGCATTTGAGTATATACCAAAGACTTGAACAACTGTAAGAGTGGTGTACATACACAAAATAATACGACAAGACAACATCCTACATAAATCCTTTTGGGAATAATAGGGACTATTGATGGATCATCCTCTCATCAAGGGTTGTCATTGATGAATTTCTCAGTGGCAACCAGCATACATATCAAAAAAAAATCAATAGAAATAACACTGAACGAAGTAGTTCATAAAATTATTCACTCCATTATTAATGGAGAGATTGCATTACCGTCTTTCTAGCTATAGAAGGCGCATTTAATAATGCAAATTCTCTTTATGATGCAGCAGCATCAAAAGGAATACCTGCTACCTTATGCAACTGGATCGAAGCAATGCTGAAAGAAAATTTAATTCCAACGTACCTGCAAGGAGAGGACATTTTGGCCAAAACATCTAACGGATGCCCACAGGAAGGAGTGTCAACTCTCCTGGTAAATCAATACAGGAATTTTTTATTATAAATTTGGAATATCAGAACATAATAACAGAAATAAAAAGTCCGATTAACATTAGTTAACCAGATATTTGATAAATGTCTTGTTTATTTCTTCTCCGAATTTGTCAGTTTCAAACGTTTCAGACAGTTTTTCATGCAATTTAGATCTTATTTTTAAAACTGAGAACTGTAGGTAACTTTCATCTATCACATCATTCAAACTGACTGAACTAACATTTTTTTTAAATACAATTAGATTGTTTATATTATTATATATATTATATTTAAGTAAGCTTAATTGTAAGTTACAAAAGCATTTCTCAGTACTCTTATGAATGAAATATCTCAAAGAACGCAATGATTTGTTTGTACAAAGAGTGTTAAAATGCAAATTTTGTTTGTTCCAGTTCCTACACTATTCATAAATTTCCATTTGGGTTATCAAACAGGAAGATAAATATTTATGTTTCTTCATTTCAAATAAACTCACAAAGCAAAAAATTAGGTTGTCTCTATTTTTAATTTAATTGGAACTGTAAATTTTCTAACAGTGAATTTTAATTAGTATCAGTTCTAGAGTATTTGCTTATTTATTCGTGTAAGGGTATTAGACGAAACAACAGTAATTATTTTAAACTTTATTTTACAATTACTTATCTTATTATTTTCTTTTGTAAACAGTAAAATAATTACATGCAGTTGCTTTTAGTGCAGTTGAGTCAACAAATAGAGGAAGTTCGAATGTATTTATGACTTTAGATTGTAAGGTTTAGAAAAATGCCATCTGTGGGACCTCCTCTATAAGCATTGCATTTTTAAAACTAAACTCTTTCAGCAAAATTATGCAAAAATACTAGATATTTATCTAAAATATTATTGCCCTGTAATATATTATCCTGTACTGGCATTTGTTCTGTCTGTTGCTTTCTGCACATATGGTAACCCTTATATAACATATAAAGCCATCAGAAAAGAAGAGATTATATATGTTCAATCTTGAACTCGCTGGTTTCTCCCTTTCGCATTGGGTATGTCTATTACCAATAGAAAAATAATAAGCCAGTAAACTTTATAAAACTCTATTGAGAGACAAGTAAAATCAGAAGACAAATATACATAAATATTCATACATTCAAATATAAAAGAGTTTCAAATTTCAATATTATTTGATACGAAATCGAAACGACAACCAATATTGAATGAGTTTACAAAAGGTAAACGAATTTTCGTAAAAATCTCAGCTGTTTTAAAAACTTAACATTACGAGACGAGTTGTGGATATATAATATATCACACAACCCAAACAGCCCATCTACAAAGGAAATTTGATTATTCTAAATATGATACAAGAAACAATAATGACTTTAACAGTTGTTTTCTACTTAAATATAATACAACGAAATATAATGATTTTAAACAAAATGCAATGGAAAAGGAAATAATTGTATTATATGCAATTTAAATGTAATAGTTATACATATGTTAATACATGTGTATAACATACACATCTTAGCACATGCTAATAACAATTAGCAACAAGTAAAATGTAAAAAGTATAAAATGTATAAAAGCAAGAAAGCAAAATAAAATTCAATTAAAAGCTTCAAAATCGCTACACAAAATGAAATAATTTAGCACCAAGTAAAAGTACTTGATCTATGCAGCAACAAGATGGTGTATTGTACTTTACCCCAATAAAATGATAGCCTCAACCGCTATCGAAAAAGACGTCTTCAACGACATACAGGAACCTCAAAAAGTATTGATGATGGAGCAGTCTCCACCCCTATTGGATGGAACGATTGATGACTAAATAATTGACGATAACTGACTGCCACGGCCCACGGTCGTTGGGCCCAGAGTTGTTTTGTACAAGCAAACGCTAGATGTGGGCGATAAATACCCAGCGATCTGCAACACTGTGAAATCTAATGGTTCAATCAATTGTTGTTGTTGTGTAATAAGAACTCCAGTTTTTGGTAAACACCCAAATAAGATGCACTTTGTTGATACTCTAGATTCTAGAAGGATTGAGTCGCTTTTTGTATGCAAAAACTCTAGCTCCGTGCAGGGTTTCTCTAAACTCCCGACATTCACATAGGGTATCTGACTCAGTAATTTATTTATGTTGCGATTTATTATTTGGGATAATTGGGCCTGAAAGTTGTTCCCTGATTTTAGTCGTCGTACTTTTGGCTGGTGTTTGTGAAGTGAATGTCAAGGTTCTTCAATTTATTTCTTTCGTTCGATATCTTTAGTAACTTCCCTTCTGATATGAGACGAACTAACGATATTGTGGATCTTATTGCGAAAGTTAAATATCTGCTAATAATTAATACTCGTTAGTAACTACATTCACGTGTCTCGTGTCTATTGTTGTTTCACATACTAGTTCCAACATATTCTGCAGTCAAAACGTAGGATAGAAGCGCCAAGTATTCTAAGTTTGGAAGAATGCGCCACACCACACTTTTGGTTAAAAAGTTCGTTAAGAATATTGTTTCCAGTTGTAAGATTATTTTCAGTTTCAAACGATGCTCTTTAAATAATAACGTACGATTCAAGATAACTACGAGGTATTTTAGAGGAGTTCAGTGTTTTGGTCAGAGCATTGAATGTTCCGTTTTGTGGATGCTTCTATATTAAGAGGGTGGAGGAGCTTACCTGCGTTTTTTCAGGATTGTCCGAAACTGCAAAGGGAATGATCAAACATATTGTGTGAAATTGCAGATTAATTGTTTGTCAACGAGAAGTACCTGATCAGATAACAAATATCTTTCTTTCCTAAACGGATAAAAGGGTTTCTTATGAGGCTCTGTTGGACTAAAAATAGATGTAAAAATTGTGATCTACCAGGTCGCAATTTAGAAAGGTCAACCTGGCCAATCGATCTCTTTGAAACTTAGAATCTTCAATGCCAGAAAAGGCAAAATCATAAATATTTGAAAAATATAAAGAGAAAGAGAATTGAAGTGATAAAAAAACGACTAAATTGGGTGTAAGAAATGAAAGATGTATGTATAGATTGTCAATAAATGAAAAATTAAATGTTATTGTAGAAGGTTAATAAAGAAAAAGAAGGATAAAGAGGTAAAGTGAGCATGGTAATAAGGTAAAATATAAAATAAAACATAAAGAATGTACCAAAATGTATACAAGATTTTACCTAAATAGACAATACTCTGTTTTTTCTTTAGATTATCATTTTTTTCTTGGATCATGAAGTTTATACAATAAGGTTATATATGGAATAGCACATCCGGCAAACGGCACCCACAACTTTGCTGGCACATACACACTCTTTTGTCGAAATGTTTTATGCAATAATTAAATTGTTCCACAGGCTGCATGGCACGTAGTAACGTCTTATTGAAACCACATGTCGTCTATATCCAATCAATATCCAATTTAGATAAGAAGGACTCTGTTGTAATATCGAGCACCAGTAGGAATAACTTGACCAGCCTCATTTTCAAAAAAGTATAATCCAATGATCCCTTAAGTTCAAAATCCGAACTAAACAGTGATACCTTGTGGATACATATTTTTTTGACTATTAACAAATTTGAAGATTAACAAAGCCATCAAGGTAAAAATGTGCTTCAGCGCTTACGATAATTTTGCTCAAAAAAAAAAAAAAAAGTATAAAAAAAAGTATATATATATCCGGTTTTTTAGGCGCAAGCCCTTATCTCTTGCCGTACTGCTCCACCATAGGCCGATCAGATCCCAGCATATTCTAGTCTAAGCCGCAGATTCATCTAGAATTTTAAACTGCTGCGTTAGCCTTTTTTATTTTTCTGTACACCGAGCTGGGGCTCGATCCCACATCCACTGAACCATTCGACAGTGAAGCAAATGAGAAGCAGCCGCACAGCCCGCTGAGCTATCTGACCGACTATGCCTATGCTCGAAAAATCAGCATCCAATTCTTAACGTTCAATAATCCATTCAACGAATTCTCTTCGATGTGTATGGTCATTAATCTGCAGTTCTTGTATCGCTTTGAACTTCGTAAGCATGGATGTGCAGATCTTTAGTGAGTATACGGTCTTAGAGAGCATCTTGAAATTTGCAATGCTTGACCACGACGCCGAATTGATGTTCCTGGATTTTCACCAACACTTTCACGCACTGCTTCCATATTGACATTTGAGCGGTTTGTTTTTGGAAGACCAGTGTGTTTATCGTCACCAACTATTCTATTCTCGCTAAATTTTTCAATTAATCTCTTCACAGTTAAAAAAGTTGAATCAGTATCCCGACCATATTTTGTACGAAATTTTCGCACTGCAGCCGTCAAAATTTCATTATTTTTAAAATATTGTTCAACAATGAAAACGCGTTGTTCTCTCGTGTAACGCTCCATTTTTACTAACCCTAAGCTGTCAGCTGTCAAACTATTTTTATTTTTTTGTTGCGTGTTTCAAATCATGCGTGAATTATGGGACACCCTGTATATATATAACGGGTGTAAAATAAAATACAAATTCCGATAATATGAATATTTCGTTATTATTACTCAACGCCATTGTTCTAAAAGTACACAGAAAGTTATGTTTTGTGTACCTATGTGATTTTTGCTCGGCTACTGCTGACTGGAGCCTTTTGTACTTCGTTAATGAAAAGCTCGAGTAATCCATTAGAAGTTCGTTTAGGAAGTAAACTTTTGTATAATTATTACAAAACCTCCAAGATAAAAAGAATTATTCTAAATGAGTTAGCGTAGCAGACTTTCAATTGTCACGTTCTTCGCATTTTGTCAATAACAGGTGAGTCACTCTATTCAACAGGTAACAAGTAAAATGAAATACTTTTTAGTTCCCGCCCTACCTCCCTTCGAACAAACAATTGACTGTGCCTTAACAACGAAGCATTGTTTGTATTCGTTTTGAAGCGTTCACCTGAAGGTGTTTCTGTGGCAAAAAAGAGTGCGCGAATGATTATGGAAATGAGGCCACAAGATATACAACAAGAGGCTAGGTCTGTGTTTGGAATTTATTGTACGGTAATCCTTTCATCGAATTTAAAGTATTATATACATTGAAACACGGGTTCTTTAGTATTGTTTTTTTAATACATAATATTTTAATTGCTGATATTGAAACGGTACATTCCAAATAATTTAATTAAATCTGCATTATTATCATTCTTGTTATCTGTATCGTTAACGCTACCATTTTTTTCATATCAATATTAATTCATTACTCATCCATATTTTGACCTCCAGTCGCCTCGTGCAGATTAAATACCCCTGCGGACTTTTTCTTTGATACTCTAGATATTGGAATCTCAAATCATTTGTCATATCTCAACACCAATTGTAAGAGAAGACATTTCACCAGTAAATTTGAGGAAATATAAGACTTCTCAGTGGATGTTGATAGGCAACAAACAAAAACAAAAATCATGAATGTGTTGCTTGTGTGAGTCCATTTCAAATAGGTAAAGAAATAATAAATAAGACTTACTCACAATCAATTTAATTTAACTATCAGACGACCGGTTTCGCTTTCTACAATATGCAAAGCATCTTCAGGTCTCGATACAAAGTTAAATAAATGATGCCGGTACTCTATTAATTGATGGATGGCAGAACATGGTTGAAACTACTATGTATTGTTGAATGGAGAACTCAATTATTCTGCTATTGTTGTTTGTAGTAGTAGTAGTTGTTTGACAGTAAACGGAAAGTTCTTGAGGAGATAGATTTGATCCAATGAAGCAGAGATATGTGTGTGGTTGTTTGTTAAATGAAAGTGATGTAATATACCATTGTATTATTAAAAGTTATTTATACTCATTCGAGAGATACATTTATGAAATGTGTGTTATTTATTGAGTAATTGTTTTATGAAGGTGACAGTTTTATGACAATGAATAAGTTTAGATGTACAAATTGTGTGGGTGTGCAATTATTTTTCAACTTGTAGTTATCAAATTTCTTTGATAAAGTTCTATTGGTAAAATAGTAGATTATTGCAAAGTCAAGTAAATAAAATATTAGAATTAAAACAATTAAGGACAATTTAAAACACACTAAAACAGAAAACACTTAGAAGGGACGAAACAAAAATTAAATTTAAAAGGGGGAAGGACTTTTATGCACTACATCTCAGTCTGTTATGTAACATAAAAAACTCATTGTGCCCAAGACTGAGATGTAGTGCATAAAAGTCCTTCCCCCTTTTAAATTTAATGTTTGTTTCGTCCCTTCTAAGTGTTTTCTGTTTTAGTGTGTTTTAAATTGTCATGCAAAATAGTGGGGACTAAATAAAATACACAAATTGTTGTAATGTCTGTATTGGACAGCGGAATGATGTTCTAACTCAGTTCATTTACAATATGTGGAACAAGTCATGCGTATAGAAACAATTCTGAACAATTCAATATATCTAAATAATCATTATTTACAAAGAGTCTACTATAAGCAATTGCCGGAGAAGGGGGTTCAGGTCGAAATTGACTTGTACCTTGAAATCTGGACCGATATTTCGAAAATTCTCGAAATGAAACATCCTGACTTTGAAATCTTTGAAACCGGTACCGTAAAAAAAACATCAACTGATTTATTTCCAACCCCCCAAATAAAGTGTTATAGCCATTTACCAACGTACGATAATTGGGCTCGGTACTAGATGACAAAATTGTTTAACTTTCATTACAGAATGAAGGTTCATCCATACAATCTACCATAAAACAGGTCCGATATACTTTTGTTTAAGCATTCGATGAAAGTGCCATATAAGATTTCTTCCAATTAATGCTAAGCTCGCACTAGGTCGGGACGGTACAGTACGGAGGCTATGTACGCTCCGCACATTTTTAGGTGGATGCGTCCAGAGATTCGGTCAGTATAGGGCGGAAGGACGGTAGCATTAGGAAAGTATTCCGGATGAAGCAAATTGTGCAGTTCAGGGTAGCTTTACACCAACAGACATTCACCATTATCAATCACTTAAGCAATTCAACTGAAACGGCGGAAAATCCATACTGATTAGTGCGCTCTCTTTCAGAACAGCTGATAAGTCATTGCTACGACGACGTGTCGGGACGTCCTAAAAATCCTTCTTTCTGACTGTTTGAGGACCTCGGAGAGTGCGGATGGATCATCCTGTTCCGACCGTGACGTTTAAGTGCGCGTATCACAAGAGAAATCAACGCTAACGTTTTTTGAAAAATTCCGTGCGTACCGTACGATCGTGCCGTCCTGACCCAGTCCGTGCTAACTTTTAAAGTGGTTCATCAACTGTTCTGCATAAGCACGCAGTAATCGGTACGGATTTTTTGCCGTTTTAGTTGAATTGTTTAAGTGATTGACAATAGTAGGTGTCTGCAAACTAATTATGTTGGGGCAAAACTACCCGTTGCTACCCAATTTGCTCCATCCGGAATACTTTCCTTATACGAGATTGGTTCCTATCGATCGTCTGCCCAGTACTACTACTGACCAAATGAATGCGTGCAGCACCAACAAAGTGTGCGGAGCATATGTACCGTTTGTACTGTACCGTCCCGACCCAGTAAGCGCTTCTCTTGGAAAATAAACACCTGGTGGTAGAAAGAATATAGAACAAACAGCAACTCTAACGTTGCAGCTGCAATATAAGTATCTGATATTTCGTGCCATGGAAGAATGCTTACAGAATGTTACAGTAATAACATTATTGAATTTATTAAAAACAAAAATAACTAAAGTTAGTGTAAATTTATATATCTGTTATAAAAATAAACAAAAATTGACTATCTAGAATATAACTATCTACAATAGAAAAAGAAACGGATGAAAATATCCAAAGATAATTTCACATATATTTTTATAAAATGGAGAGTCAAAGTAAGGGAAAAGGGGATTATAAAATTTTCGTTTTTGTTTTTGTAAACAAATGATATGAAGTAATCTTCACATACATGTTAAAATGTAGTCGACGAAAATACTCCAATATTTCTTAAATAAATCACTAAGCTTGAAGGATTTCTGCCATCAACATTGTAGTCTAAAATGTCTACTCTGTATGTAATGAAAACCATTTTTATTTTACTAACATGCCATAAAATTGTATACCTTTAAATTTTTCATGTATTCAGGAGTTATGATAAATCGATTGAAATATATTAACTCCCAACTTTTATTAATACTCTTACTTTATGTACGAGGGCTATTCTAAAAGTGTTAAGTGATAAAACTTATCACTTTATGAAAATACGTGTTATAAAAACGTTATATTGGAAATATAAAATGATTATGATAATAGCTCTTCTGATAGTTTGTTATAATTATAATGAAATTACCACTTTCGCCTGAAAACATATGAGCTTGATTTTGTAGTAAATTATGTAATGTCATAATTTATATTAACACAGGCAAACCACAAAACAAACGCACAATGTCCCAAATCACTCCATCAGCTACGCCATCTACAGAGGAACCTATTTTCATAAAATCCACAATGAAAATGAAATACCTGTAGTTGCCTGTATACCATCAATCACAAAAGTTTATTTAAAATTCTTTATAAAAGGTATATTATTCTAAAATTACACTTTCGGGTTACATAACAGAACGTTTCCGGATTAATAAATCCATCATCAGTGTAGTTACCTAACACAAGTAACACCTAACCTAACTTTAATAAAAGCAAACATAAATATGAAATTTTAACCAAGGTTAAAGATCACGTATATACCAGGTATAGATGAGGGAAGCTACTAAAGTAAAAACCCTTTAAATGATGTTAACTTTTAAATAACCAAATATATATCTAAAAATTTAATTAAAAATCCTTTGTAATAGGTATATTTTAGGCCCAAACGGGCTAAGTTAAAAAGACAAAACGTTTTCGGAAACCATGTTCCATCATCAGTGTCTAGGAGTACATGAATGTAGCCACCAAGATTAAATATGTGGGTAAAAACCCGATTACATATGTTTAATTACATTTAGTTTTAAAATAATGTTGTAATGATTTAGGATTATAGAGTTACCGATGGATTAGGTAACATGGCGACATATGACTCCACGTTGAAGTTGCAGTCATACAGTCCTCGAAGACATACCTTCTCAGGACTAGCAACTTCAACGTGGAGTCATATGTCGCCATGTTACCTAATCCATCGGTAACTCTATAATCCTAAATCATTACAACATTATTTTAAAACTAAATGTAATTAAACATATGTAATCGGGTTTTTACCCACATATTTAATCTTGGTGGCTACATTCATGTACTCCTAGACACTGATGATGGAACATGGTTTCCGAAAACGTTTTGTCTTTTTAACTTAGCCCGTTTGGGCCTAAAATATACCTATTACAAAGGATTTTTAATTAAATTTTTAATACATGGTATACAGCCAACTACAGGAACG